ATACCAAGCATACGTTACAGTAACAGTTTTACTGCGAAGATGTTCGTAGTGATATGTCACAATAGGGTTAAAATTATGTCATACTATATTACAGTAACAGGCTTTTGCCTGCGAAGACGTTCATTGTGGTAAAGGACAAGCAAATTTATTATGCTACCAATGGAAATACAGAAATTTGGTCTAGAGCTTTTTTTTCAAATAAACTTTTGAAATCATTTAACTAACTTTAATACCTTAATAAAGGTTGCAGTGCAATTTAAAGCTCTTGAAGCACTGATAGAGGCGGGCGCGTTGATAATAGTAAATTTTTTTATATTTATATATATTAATAATTAATACTGAATAAAATTAAATTCAAAGTTTGTTCAGCCAGTGGAAATTGCCGAATGGAAAAAAGATGCTAATGAAAATATTAGTAAGCTGAAAACTGTCTTGGTAAGAAACATGAATATTATAATTGTGTTCTAGTTTTAGTTATAAATCAAAAATTTTCTTTATTAAGAAACAATATATAGAATCAAAAGATGTATTCAAGCGAAGTGCTCGCTCACGTCTCTGTTGTTCCCAACTACTCAAAGAATTAAGTAATATGAGTGCTAATGATTTGACATATGATAATCCATTAGCAAGTAGCATTATTTGTGATGAATCCGAATTAGTCAAAAACCTGCCACAGGATTGTCAAGAAGAATTTGGGGGTATTTAGCAATAACTGCAGAAATTGTTATTACAATTAAATTAAGAATAACTATTTATAAATAGACGGGCATCTTGGAAATGAAGCTTGATAGCAATTCTGATTTAAGACAAGCTTCTGAAAGTTTGGTAAAGAGCCATCAATCATGGAAAAAGCAAAAGAAAAAACGGTTTGAAAATAAAGTGAAATATGGAAACTTGTTCGATGAGAGAAAAGATATAATAAAATTCTCAAGAAGAATATCAAATGCTTTGTATGAAATATATTTTATTATTCGTGATAAAAAATCCTTATTTAACTTTTATTTTCATTTGTAAAGAGAATGTGTGGAGGACACAACATTATGCTATGATGGCAAGTGTACTAGACCAAGTTAGTGAAGGCACATACGTTGTAGAGGTATTAGCACCTTTGTTAACCGCTACCTTTGCAGAATTACCAGTTCCTGTAATGCATAAAACAAATTGGTAATATTTTCTTTTTTATATCCTATACTTGCAAGTTTTTAATTCTTACATCTTTAATTAGGGAAGAGGTTGAGAGTTCTTCGAGTAAGGCTCGTAAAAGTTACATGGAAATAAGCCAGATTTCATGCTACGCGTGAAAATTGGCAACAAAGAACTCGAATTAGTTAATATAGAAACAGGACGGCCAGAATCGGATTGGAAGAAACAATTGTCTGATCATAATAAATTGGCGCGTAGTGCTAAAGATGCCTTTGAGGATTTTTCTATCAATGAAAGTGTAAAAAAATATGGATATGATGAATTGACAAAGATCTTTTGTCTTAACGTTAAAGGCAAGTGATAGGATGCTTAATGTTTTCTTTACACAAGATTTTTTATTTGTTAATTTTTATTAGGGCAGTATTTATCAATTCATGTTCTTTCTAAAACCAAAAAAGGATATTACCGTTTTGTTAAGATGCGTCAAGTTGAGATTCCGCTGTTTCAAAGCAAGCCTGAGCAAGTTTATGAACTATGCAATTATTGTTAGAACTGTGGGTATGTTTGCTATTTTTTTATTTTTACTTGATTTAGTTTGAATATTTGATTTATATAGAAATTTATAATATTTAAGACTGCTGTTATTAAAATAGTTAGGATGCTATTTTATCAATACAAGTCTAGACATTCCAAAAAGCCAAATAAGGGTACTGTTTATGGTATTAAGCAGATATTTGTAACAATAAGAACACCAAAGGGTACTAAGAAGCGATAATACAATGCTATTATGGATGGTTTTTTCTTTTTTTGATATAGATAGCTGTTTCGATTTTTGAGAATATTGAATTAATGCATTTTAATAGTTAACAATTTGGATTACTATAAACTAGCAGATTGTATACTGTTATATAAATAGTTGTTCTAATCTTTATGAAATTATTAAAAGAATCGCTAGTTCAATTGAACGTTGTTATATACAATATATCAAGTAAAGATTGCCTAGCCCACATCACAATTGTTTAATAATATTTAGGACACTATTTCTGTAGTATTTATGAAATACAATTTGAGCCATTTTTAAATAATTTTGCTTGTATTAAATAACGGTGTTGCCCATATCCAACTTTATATAACAAAGGCAGAACAATGAATTTGATGTCAAAAAAAAATTTAAATAGACTTCAGTATGTTATGAAACAAAATTTTGCATAAACAATCTCAATTTAAAAATTACAACCATCTTTTTCAGATTGCAAGCAGAAAATAATTCAAGCATTAATATTCAATCAAGATATATTTATAGTAAAGTTCAACCAGTTGACTCCAAAGTTTCATAATAAAGTGCTTATATTGGCAAAATTTTGTATTTTAATCCTTCTATATATGATATTTGAATACATATACTGTATGTGAAATTATAGCATTAACAGATCTCAATATCACATCTATATTTTAGCACCGGTGGATGCTAAAATAAGTCATGTGATTGGTTAGCTAAATAAAAAAATATTTAATTACTCAATGCAAATAAAGCAAAACTCTTTTCTA